TCTTCTTCCAAGTGAAATATGGTTAAGTTATGGTTAAGATAAAACATAAAAAAAAATAAAATTAAAAAACATAAAAAAAACCTGTTTTGCATCTGTTTTTTGGCAGACAGTTGACAATAGCAGGGCTGCATCTTTTAGTTTGTAACAGTATTATATAGAATATAACTTTTGTTCTGCCAGATCTCCCAGTCAGGGGTTGATAAAGTTTAGTTCTTGGAATTCTGTGCATTAGAAAGAAGTTCTTTCAGAAGAAGAACAGTTCTTTGAAGTATTATTTGTTTTTATTCTGTCTGTTCAGCGTCCTCCAACAAGGACGGGTGGTGGTGGGGTTCATAATCAAGGGCGTAACTTTGGCTGGAACATTGGGGGGGTTGAGGTCTCCACCCATTATGGGGGAAACATGATTATTGGGTGGGTTATATTGGCTGGATCTGATTATTGGGGGGGTCATGACCCCCCCTGAAAATTACGCACCTGTTCATACTGTTCACAATGGTATTTTATTAGTTGTTGATTTAACCATGGATGAGGTAATGGCTGTTATGTTATTTTCTTTTCAATGACGTTCCTTGTTACATGTTCATTGCTGGATTTATGGAAAAACATCAACCAATATTGCATATCCATAATTATTATAATGGATATAATTAAAGAATACGTACACTATAACGTAAATTAGAAGTCTAATGCAAAAAACTGGATTTTTATGCCTATTTTGAATTTTACTCGAATACAAATACAAATACAAATAGTTTTCCCCCCTCAACAAATACAAATACAGATACAAATACCGGCTACTTTGCACATCCCTAGTACAGAGAGGTAAGTACGGGCAGAGAGATCTCCCACACAGCCCCAGAGGGGAGTCGCAGCCACTGGGGATAGCGAAGCGGCTGTATAGCAGAACGGAGCTTCTCTCGGGGTGGAGAGCAGGCAGACAGAGTTGAAATAGGCGAGCGAGGATCGTGGTCGGTGTCCGGAAACAGTAGATCAGTCCCACGGAAGATACACAGGACGGACGAACAGGAGGGTGGAAGGACAGGGGACGCCGGACTCAGGAAGAAAGGCACAAAAGGTGAGGATCTGACAACAGGTAAACGGGCAAGGCAAGGGAGATCGGGAAGACAGTGGACAAGAAAACGCTTAGCAAGGCTTCTTTTCATCGGCTCAATACTTCGCGATTAGTGCAGTGTTCTTTCCTCCTTCAAGGAGGACTAATCGGCTTCAGAGAAGGTGCACCTGTCCGTCCCCGCCCCTGTGGGCGTAACAAGCAGGCTCATGATGGTCATTGAGAAGAATGGTGGCAATGTAGGACATTACACCTGGTAATGTGGGCTGTATGGAAAGGCCAATAGTGCATTATTCCTTATATAAACCGAATAACTAAGATTATTGTTATTTCTGGTGGTGAGGAGAGAAAAATCCACTTTAAATAGTTTCTGATTACCGTATATATGTGCACACTGATTACATTTGATTTTCACAAAAATAAAAGCATTTTCTTGCTAAATAAATTTACTTGGACAAAAAGAACTTCTGAAGTCACACCAGTGACCAAAATATCTGTGAGAAATATATGTTTAAAATAAATTACATATGTTTGTATTGCATTCAATGTTAATGAGATATAATAAATATGGAACTCTTCTATACAATTTCATCAGTTAAACCTTTTCAAAAATGTTCTTTTATATTAGAATATAAAAGAACCAAATATTGAAATTTGGTTGTGTCACAAGTTGTTTTACAGGTGTAGAGCAACAATGAAAGATCAAGTAAATTGAGTCATGAGGGGAACTTATTTAATCTTATGTCACCTGAGTGAATGTACATGCTGACTCTTAGATGCGTGTCTAATATTTTCAGCATGGTTTTTTAGCCCTGCAACCTCTGTGACATAGTTTCCCACAACAAATGGAAAATGACCCAAATACTAATTTTAATTTTATCCAATCCACTGACAATATCTTAACATGAAAACTTATGGTTCTTTGAATTACATTTGATATTCAATAGTCACAGTATAAAGTAGACATGCCAGGTACTTGTGACAATTATAATAATGACATTAATTTCTGAACAAGTATGAGCGAAAAGCCTCAACCGTAATTTCAGGAACTGCTCTATAGCAAATTTAAGGAAATGGAATGATCAGCTACAGGGGAATTAGAGGGCATTGAGTGATGGACCTTAGCTGACATTTTGTCATGGGGCCCAGAATTTCACTGATCATGATGACTATAATATACTCTCAATAGTATTGGGACACCTGCCTTTACGTTAATCCAGCTCATATGGTTAATCCAGGCCAGCTGTTTCTGGTGTAAAAAATAATAGTAATACATAGGTATACCTAATAAAATGGCCATTGAGTGCAAGGCTAAGGAGTTTGCCTGTCCTCTCTCTACGGCAGTTTTCCAATCCGGTCCTTGGGGACCCACAGGCGGTCCACATTTTTGCAGTAGGGAGCTTGGAGAGAGCAAGTGTAAAACAGTTAAAAATGCAAGTAAGGACATATAATAAATAATAATAAATAATGTGCAGTACAACAGGTATTTTAATTTTGCTTGGTGCTTGGGGGGCAGCATGTGGCTCTGTGGGCTAAGCGTGTGTGCCTGTAATCACAAGGTCACTGGTTCAAACCCAGCCTCAGCACATCTGTGGGTCCTTGAACAAGGCCCTTAACCCCCAGCTCCCTGGGCACCCCAACCAGTGGCTGCCCTTCACAGACATCTTACTCTACAAAGAGCAAGTTGAGGGAGGTGTAAAGTCAATAAAGTATCAGTGATTATTAGTCATTATTATGCTCTGCTGTGAATGTTGCAGTTGAGGGAGGTGTAAAGTCAATAAAGTATCAGTGATTATTAGTCATTATTATGCTCTGCTGTGAACACTGTCAGGGCCAGTACCTACACAGGGCCTGTCAGGGCCAGTACCTACACAGATCCCAACAGGGCCAGTCAAGGCCAACTGTCAACAACTGTCAGGGCCAGTACCTACACAGATCCCAACAGGTCACTAGATGGCGATTACCGCTAGGGAGGAACCCAAAACCACCATAGAGACCAGGGCTGCAGATTAAATCCTGCAGCCAAACTGAACGCCAGCTAAAGTTTTGTGCCTCTTTGTTCCCAACTACAGACACAGAGCCACCGGCAGGGTTTAGGAAACACACACCTCTCCCTGACACCCCTAGGCTGGGGAGGGTAACACAGACATGTGGACTGTGTGACAGGGAACTCGGATGGAGGAAAACCTGGACTGATTGTGTGTCCCCAAGGAGCAGATTGAGAAACACTGCTGCAAGGGGTTAAGCTGATCTGAGCCTCATTCCATCCATAGATGAAAGCCTGATGAGAGACACACATGGACAGAATTAAATATTGTGGATGAAGGCTGTTACCTGAAAGAAAATGCAACCCATCCTCCAAGCTAGATGGAGAGAGCGGATGTAGTTAAAGGACGTACACTCAAGCTGTTCCCTGCCAGGAGAGGATCGTTTGGGGAGGGGCTCTCTATCACATTGTCATTCACCACTCAAAATTTAATATACAATCAGGCCAATAGGTTTCTGGAATTGTGACCTTCCATGTACTGTACAATTAAGAGACCATAACAGTAATATCAGCTGTAATCTAACTTTCTTTTGTAATGTGTGTTTATTTCATTTTGCAGCTTGCAGAAGTTTGCAGGTGACCATTGTGCTGAAGCCTGATGTAGGAACCGTGGGCGACTCAGTGCAGTTTTTAGTCTCTACAGACTCACATAATGGTTTTTCGTTTATATCATGGACTGTGAATGGCTCCACTATACTTACCTCTGATGGAACCAACACCATAACATACCCTGTCTATAATGGGAGAATCAACTTTGACATCACTACTGGATCACTAGAGCTGAAGAGTCTCACTCTGCATGATAGTGGTTCTTATCAGGTACAAATTCAAACCTCAGGAGAATCTGAAGTCCAACAACAAGTCAGCCTCAAGGTTTTGGGTGAGTTGCAACATAAACTCATCCATCCATCCATCATCCAACCCACTTATCCTACTGGGTTGCAGGGGGTCTGGAGTCTATCCCAGAAGCAACGGGCACAAGGCAGGGAACAACCCTGGACAGGGGGCCAGCCCATCGCAGGACACACTCACACACCATTCACTCACACATGCACACCTAAGGGCAATTTAGCAATGCCAATTAGCCTCAGCATGTCTTTGGACTGTGCGGGGAAACCAGAGTACCTAGAGGAAACCCCACGACGACACAGGGAGAACATGCAAACTCCACATACATGTGACCCAGGCAGAGACTCGAACTCAGGTCCCAGAGGTGTGAGGTAACAGTGCTAACCACTGCACCACCATGCCACCCCTGCAACATAAACTGAATAATATTAAATTCCAGTTATGTTATGTATTCTTTTAATGATGACTTGCATGGTGACCTTTGGTGAACTGCACTAATTGCTTAAATCAAATTAGCAATTACATACCAACAACTAGGAACTACAGGGCACAGCTGAAAGCAACGGAGTACCTTTG